ACGATTATTCATATTATTCATAATTAATAATTACAAACAAAAAAAATTAATAAATAAAAAAAATAGTCTAAACAAAATACAAACAAACAAATTTTATAATAATAATAAAAAAAAAATGACTAAGTTTATTAAATGTTCATGATAATAATAATAATAATAATAGTGGAAATAATAATAAAATTACAATTTACATTTTCAATACGTTTTAAATATTTTCGTTATTAATAATTTTTTCCAATTGTACGTCATCGAAGCCACCGCAGATATCTGTCAAGTCTCTAAAAATAATTTCCGCTGTCCGTTTTATAGATATGTATTGTACATAAGCTTGTATTTGTTTCGGCACGTTTAAGATTTCCATGTATTTTTTATGGTACTTGGTTGTGAGACCATCCCATGTCATGACTATTGGTACTTGAAATACTGTAGCATTGTACATTGATTTCAATTCTTTTGCCAAAATGTCGTATTTCCTTGCCTTTTCCGTTTCTGTTTCTTTTAATCGATCCTTATTTGTTATACCTACTTCGACTATCCATATCTTTTTTGCAGCCAAATCATGTACCAGTAGGTCCGGTTTGTTATTATCGATTCTTGTATCCGTAATTATCGGGACGTCCGATTTTATTTTTACACGGTTATTCTGTATAACGTTCTCAACGCGATAATTTTTCAATCTTTTATTTCTTTCAATGCCGTACCTTTGACAAAACATTAAATGTAGGCTCCTAACGACATCATTGTGTCTATACTTGTATTCCGAGTTTAGCAACCTTCCACAACACGTGGCCAGGTGATCTACTCCCACATTGGTTAGGCTACAATGCTTGCATTTTCTTGTTTCAAAGAATAGGTTTCTATCCTGTACCTTACACAATAAACCTTCTTCTTGCGGTGAAATGTTTGATTTCTTTAACCATAGCGATGATTGTTCTATATTCACTGGTTGTTCGCCATGGTTGAACAGTTTACCGTGCAATCTTTTTTCCCTTATCTTTTCCAGCTTATCAGCTTTTTGTTTCTCTTTAATGGTCATTGCGTTTAGGGTTGAGTCTGGGATTTGGTATTTGTTGGTGATAAACGTTTTGATTGTACCAAGACTAGTTCCCTTTGCAATTTCGTTGTCGATAATCGCTTTGTTGTTCTGTTCGAGGCTACTATGGAAATTAAATAGTATTGCTTCTGCACGTTCCTCGATCTTTTGTAGACCTCTGCCCAATTCCTTCCGATCCATATATAGTCTTTCGTTGTTTGCAGAATGCCTAATGATATTGTATTTTTTCAATATTCTTCTAATATCGTCGTCCATACTTTTTAGCTCATTTGGTTTGAAATCAATCAATCCAATATAATAATTCATAGTTGATATTGCGTATTGATTTATTGCCATCATCAGGTTTTTCCCATTTAGCTTGGTCTTACACAAAGCATCAACCTTTGACAGTATTTTTTCTCTCAGTAACACTTTGTTCTCGGTTTTAATGAGATTGTTTTCGTCTTCGAGAATACCGAGGTATCTGTATCCATTTTCGTCTATCATATTCCCGAAAGCGGTATCGTCGCCTATATTATTGGCTGATTTTTGTTCATTTGTTTGGAAACCAATTCCTTCCAAGACTTCCTTCGTGCGGTCACATAGCTCTTTAAGCGTATTTTTGTCATTTGCGAATAGCTTAATGTCGTCAATGAATATTAGGTGGTTTGTTTCAAGATCAGTTTGGCCGGCACGTACTTTTACACAATTCTTATTTAAGCATCTGCTGAGAGGTTCCATCGCTATAACAAATAGTAACGGTGACAAGGAATCTCCCTGTAGCAGTCCTTTATTTATTTGTACCCGACCAACTTCGTCGCGGTTCATTATCAATGTTGTTTTTTGATTTATTAGCATTCTTTCTACAAATTTAATGATGTTATCTGGTGCTCTTATTTTCTCGAGACACTGTAGAATGTAGCTATGTGGAACCGAGTCGTAAGCCTTTTGGATGTCTATCCAGCTAGTACATAGTTTGTGATCATTGGACGAATTGATTACTTTGTTGATAAGTGCTTGTAATTTAGCGCCTTGGCATCTACGTTTCGTTCCAAGCTGATTATTAGAAATTATTTCATTCACTTCTGCAAATTCGGTAAGTAGCTGTGTTGCTACTTTGCTGATTAGTTTGTATATATTTGAAAGGCACGTGATTGGTCTTAGATCATTTGGCGATTTGGTATTATGACGTTTTGGGAGCAAGTAAGTCACGCCCTCGTAAAATTGCTCATCAATACTTTGTGGATTTTGGATTGCATTGTAGACCAATTCTTTCAATTTCGTATGAAGTACGTGTATCTTTTTGATATAAAAATTGAATACATAATCAGTTCCAGTTGCTTTCCACAATGGTAAATTTGATATTACGTTTTCGGTGATTTCACATATCTTTTCTTTGCACATATCTATGTTCATTTGGCTAGGTTCGTGAAGGTTCACTATTTCCTCGCGGTTTGTTTCCATTTCGTTTTGTTCCCACATTTTTTTCCAAAATTCATACGTAGCTTCTTTGTCGATTTCGTTTGATATACTATTGGTGGTTTCATTGATTTCTCTGTAGAATCTTTTTGCATTTAATTCAAACAATCTGTTTGTTTTTCGGAACTGTTTTCTGTTTTCGTGGATTCGTAACCGTTTTTCATAGCTTTTGATTCTTTCTTCCAATTCATCTTTTACTCGTTCAACTTTTTGGCGGTTTGTTGAATGGATATGTTTATTTTTACATATTTGTTTCATTGCACTTGTTGCATGACCGGTTTCACAAAATTCGTTAATTGTATCTACTTTATCGTACAATTTTTTAATCGTTTCTTCCATCGATTGTTGCCAATTTGATTTTTTTATTGTTTTTGTTGTCATCTGTTGATATGTGATTTGACACGCGAGAATTATGTTGGCATATTCTTGAAGACTAATTATTGATTCGTCCAGTTGTTCTTGTTGAAGCGCGATATTGATGTAGTCCATGATTTCATTTTTGACTTCTCTACTATATATTTTATATGTTCTCATTTTGTTTTGTTCATTTACCTCTTTGATATTGTTTTTTAGGGCCGTTTTTGTACGAGTAAAGAGGTCGACATTCTTTATTTCAATCAGCTGGTTGCTTGTTGTTGGTACATTGTTTTGGCCACTTTGTAGATTATCTTTGTTTTTTGCCATGTTGTATAGATTTCTCATATCGATAATTGTTTTTTGTTGCACAAATTTTTGATTGAAAGCATCTTTAATTTTTTCCCATCCACCTTTCGGTATGCGGCTCATTTGTTCCTTTATATTTTCGTACAATTCTTTTATCCAATCTTTTTGATTTTCTTTATCGATATTTGCCAAAATTTGAATCAATTTTTCCATGTTTGTTGTTGTTTGTGATTGCGGTTGTGTGCCGTCATTTGTACTCATTTCAGTAGTGGCGTTGTCGGTTGTTTCGATGACAGATTGCACGTGTACTGGTTGGTTGTTGCTTCTCGATAACTCGTTTGTAACATTTTCTTCGGTTTGTAATTGTTCGAGCATCGGAAGGCTTGGATCATTTTGTCGACGATTAATGCCAGATCTGGTGAGCATTTTGGCCAAATTTGTTGATTGGAACTTAATGTTTCAAGAACTTAAATCGGTTTTAAATTTTCACTGAATCAGCAATTTATCGTAACACAACCTCTCAGCACGGAGGCTATTTCCACTATTTCAAAATAATAATAATAATAATAATAAAGATGTTCAAATCGTTTCATTATCATGAT